TTTATTTGTATAAAACCCCTCAAGGGCCAGAAGCTAATCAGGGGGAAAAAAAACGTTTGGAGAAAGCGCTCGAATAAAATAAACCAGTTGTTCGTCCCTACAGCAGCCTCGCCCAGGGAGGCCCCCTCCAAGGGAGCGGGGACTCCATAACCCATAACCCACAGCCAGGAGAGCCCACAAAGGGGCAGGACATCGTGATCGACGGTTACCTGTCCCGACCGACCCCCACAGCCGCCATCTTTTTTTACTCCAACCGGGCCGTCCTTCCTACCCAGTGAGCCCATTGGCTCTTCTGCCATGGATTGGCAACTCTTCCCCCCGCCCTCTTCGCCTCGCTATTGGATGGCTTGCTGGGAGGCGGGGTCGAAAGGTAAGGGGCGACAAAGCAGGCGAGGCGTAGGGCCGGCGCTGTTGCCTTGTCCGGGCTTCCACAGCGTGAACTTCAAATCCCAGAATGCCTAGCCGCTACAGGCATGCGAGTAAGAATTCTGGGGTTTGAAGTCCAACCTGGATCAGCTTGGGAAGCTCGTTCTCAGGGGAGCAGGTGGTTCACGTTGAGCCTTGCAAATAGCAAGGCCGTAGCAGAGTCAGAGATGAAGAGGGAAATTTGTTTGTTTTTATTTATTGATTATTCAAATTCCTAAGAGAGCTTTGAGAACTTGCCTGCAAAAAGTTTCCCCCAGCCTGGGGCTCCCCAGTGTCTGTCCGGGCTGGTGTGGATGATGGGAACTGTAACTCCACATACCTAGAGAGCAATAGAAGTCTGCAATGCCATAGCATTTGCAGTAGCTAAGAGCATTCGTATTGGCCTGTTCTTCCATTCTAGGCTCATCGTAACTGTTCATTTTTGTCTTGATCCTTCGGGGGGGGGAAATAGCATGGGTTGCATTCTTTGCATCCAGCAACGGTTAATGTTCTTTTTATCCATGGCGGGGAACATAAAGAGTAAATGCACGGTGGCCTGTTCTGAGGTTCCTCTGCCAAGCAGACTGGAGGATAAAGGAAATAATTGAAAAAGCAGCACGGTGGCTGCAAGAACTGCAGTTTGTAAATCTTAGATTGCAATTTAGTGAATTCCATAGAACGGAAAGGTTTGTTCTCTTCACAGAAATAGAATCTGGTTATTTCCAGTATGTATAAAAGGATTGCAGGATGCAGTAGCATAAAAGAAAAGAAATACAGATACTTTTCCATTTTTTTAAAAAATGTTAAACTCCAGTAGTGACTTGATTTATTTCTAACCATGATTAGGTGTGTCATATCTGGATGGTAATAAACAGATGAATATTTGATGGCAGAAAAGAGGGGTTTTGTGCCCCTTTTTGCTGTCATGGGGCAGCCATGTTTCTGCAGCCCAGATCTGAATCCTAAAGATTCCTTCTCCACCTCTCGGCTGCAACGCTAGGATGACAGCTTTTAAACCAGTGTTAGGTGTTGGTTTCTATTTCTTTTCTTTATAACATCTTCATCCCCTCCTTCTGCTAAGAAAGGGAATCTGACCCATATTGAGTGCATTGGATCTTAATTTTTACAATGTAGTTTTGAGATAGATTAGGCTGAGAGACCAAATTTGGTGCGCAGGCCCTCGGTGGCTGTGCTAATCCATGTTTTACAATCGGAATGGCTGGATTTCCACAAAATTAAATGTTGTGCTGATGTATGACTTCAGCTAGGGAACTTCATAGCTAAGTGAACTTTACTTGGTTTGGTTAGGGGTATGCCTCACACTAAGGCAGTGTTGTCCAAACTTGGCCACTTTAAGATGAGTGGACTTCAACTCCCA